ACTCCATAGGTTCCTTCTTTCCTTAAATTACAAAGAAGAGGCATTACTGATGCGCCAAGCTTTGGGGAAATGAGGAAGACATGTTATTGACACGCCACAAGTCCCTTCCCCAAATTACAACAAAAAAAAATTGTATTCCCCAAATCAAAACGAACTGGTCAGTCTCAAAAATCAAATTATGATGACTCTAATCTTAATCATACAAAGTACAACATTGAAAAGCATCTTCAAACAAATTTCCCTCCACCCTCAAAACAGAGCCCCCGGTTCAAGAAGAAATATACAATGGGCGAGACCCAAGAGGCATTGCTACCACCAGCATCACCCAAGCTTCCGCTTATGCAGGGAAGAGAGTATAGAGAGAGAAGAAAAAAGAAACAATATGGAGAGAAAATAAATGTTTTAATTATTTCTAATCATTGTTTGAGGAGGGGTATTTTCGTGTTAAATTCCATTCTTAAGTGACTTGGGGGGTTGATAAAATCTAAAGCAGCCCTAGGATGCATTCCGGATGAGTCGTCGCCATGCACAAATTTATAGAGCAATGAGTCAGGATGTAAGGGATCATCTGATGCAAAGTAGAATACTACTCTATGGTGCTTGCACCTTGGTGTTTCAAGAGATTAAAAGTAAGAAAAACATAATTGTTATTATGATCACAAGAAAGTAAAAAAGACTAGCATTGCAGACAATGAGATACAATTCTTACGCCTGAGAATGTTTTGCATACGTATCGATCAAAGAGGATCCTATAAAGACATCAAGATTGAAACCATTTCAGCTAACATATTTATGTATCTCTCTCCCTAAATCAAGGCCCTCTAGGTGTGCGCAAGCTTAGATCATTGTAGCCATGGTTACTGCATCAGGGCTCACAACTTGGGCCTCCATCTCTTTGAACACAGCTGCCTCTTTAAACCTTCCATTTTTTGAAAATCTCGAGGTCATGGTGGTCCAAGAAACCAAATCCTTATGACTCATTTCATCAAAGAGCGAAGCGGCCTTTTCTATATCACCACCCTTTAAATAGCCATCAATCAAAGCATTCCATGAAGCTGTGTTTATCTCAGGCATGACATCAAAGAGTTCTTGAGAAAAACTCAATTCACCAATTCTGCAATGACCTGAAATCATCGGGGTAAAAGTGATTGCATCCTTAACCTCCATTTCATCAAACACCTTACGAGCATTTCCAATCTCGCTACAATTTAAGTACAAATCGATCCGCACAGTTCCAACAAAGACCTTAGAATTCAAATCCCATTTCACAAAATTCACAAAATTAGTATCATTCAAGAAACAAAGATAGAGAGAGTGATAACAAACAACTCCAAATTTTATAAATAATGCTAGAAAGAGAGAGAGAGAAAAAAGCTATAAATTTCACAAATGATGCTATAAATTACTTTAAAACATACACACAGGCAAGCACACATCTAAAATTAAATAAAAAAGAAAATTGAAAAATATCAAATCTGGGATCTACAAAATAACGGCGAAGATGAGAGCCTTGGGTGCTGACCTAGAGGCCTAGGCACGACGAAGAGCATACCCTATTTTCGAGATGACCGTGTTCCGTCTTGCCTGCCATTGGACTCTCTCTCTCTCTAAGATCTTCCTGCCCTCATCGTCTGAAAAAAAATCTCTCTCCAAGAACTTCTCTCTCCCTCTTTTAATGGTGCGGGCTCTCTCTTCTCTCCAAGAAGCCTTCTCTCCCTCTAATCTGCGTGCTCTCTCTCCTCCAAGAAACCCTTCGATTGGGGTATTTTCAAGCATTTCTTCAAGACAGAGAAAATGAGGCCATGGGGTACTGGTAATGGAGAATGGGTAATGGAGATAACAACTTTTTGGAGGTGGGTTTTAATCCCTATGATCTGTGTGCTCTCTCTTTCCTCCAAGAAACCCTCTCTCCCTCTGATCTGCGTGTTCTCTCTCTCCTCCAAGAAACCCTTTGTTCCCTTCTTCTCCCACGTGTTCTCTCTCTCCTCCAAGAAACCCTTTGTTCCCTTCTTCTCCCGCATGCTCTCTCTCTCCCTAAAAATGGGTTTCTCTCTCTCTAGTGCGGACTTATTTCAAAATGGGTTGCCGATTGACCCGTGCCCCCATTTTGTGACAAATTGAGTGACTGAATGTTTGCCCTTTTAAATCAACGGCTAAAAAGGTGGGGCAACATAGAACTTCTATGATGTAGGGAGACTATACAAATCTTTCCCATCTAATAATGCCCCTCACAGAACAAATAAACTAGTATATTTAATGGCTCGTATAAATGTAACAATCACAGTAAACAAATGAATAAATTATGGACGTGGTTAGAATGCAACCAGCCCGATATTGTAGAAATATGGGCTTCGAAATAAATATATTTTTCCATATAATTTGATCTTAATTTTTAGAGAATATATAATAATTAACATGGACATCATGAATAGGAAAAAAATAAAATTTGAAAGCTAGAAATAATAATTATATTAAGAAAACATTTGGACCGTTAGTTACGAGTTTTTAGATGGACTACCTATTGTGTCTATCTTTAAGATGGATGCTTTATACCTCTAGACTGCGTATTGTAGAAATGCAGTCAAGGCCGCATAAAATTTTTTTTCATAAATTAGTTTCAATCTATGTATATGTAATTAATGAAAGTTGGATAAAGTGATCTAGTACGGTGTATATAGTTTTTAATTTTTCTTTTTCTCACCGACTAGAACACTTATAATGGATCCAAATAATTAATTCAAGGGAAAATATCTCCATACCCCTTATTTTTAGGTTTCACTTCACAATAGACTCAAGGTTTTAAAAGATATCTTAAGCCATAAAAATTATAGATTTTATTTTTTCTAACCCCTTGAGCTAATTTAAACTTATTTTTTAGCCAAAACAAATCTAAAAAGACATGCTTTTTCTAAAAGCCATCCTCTCGAGGTGAGAAGTTATCAGGAGGAAAGAGAGGTCTTTGGAGAAACATGGGAGGAGAGAGAGTGAAAGACTCAGGAAGAGAGAGAAATTAAGAACTATGGGGTATATAAGTGAAGAGATAAAAAGGACTGGGTTTAGAAAGAACATGTCTTTCTCGCATTTATTTAGGTTAAAAAATATGTTTAAAGTGGCCAGCGGGTTATAAGATATCTTTTGAAATATTGAGTTTATCAAGAAATGAAACTTAAAAATAGAGGATATGGAGATATTTTCCCATAATTCAACTCGAAATAAATAACTAAACAACCAAAAGAGGTTCCCACTTACTACCACTAATTACAACTTCTTTTATTCAATAAAAAAAATGCTTCACGGAATAAGAAAGCATAAAAAATAATAGAACTGCAAAACACAAAGCAAGATGCCGAAATATTACCTCAACTAAACTTAGTACACCCCAAACCGACTCTCCTCCTTCAGTGGCGCACGTGATTAATAGTCAATATTAGATCCTTGAAGTATAGAAAAGCCTAGGCTATAACCCTTAATCATATGAGAACAATGGGGGAACTTTGTGAAGGTACTAGCACTAGATCTCAATACCTACCTAGGTGGGGCACGACCCTCTTTTAAATCTAGGTAGGGTGTGTCCCCCTTTCAGCATTCTAATGGAGATAGAGATGAGAGAGGGAGCCTAGGTTGGTGTGTGCCCCTTCTCTTACTAAACTTCTAAGAGAGAGATCTTAGATGAAGCCCTAGGGGATTGCATTCCATCTTAAGATAGAAAGATATAGTGAGAGGCGAAGATATTTAGAGATGGGAGGGCTCTTATTTATAAATACTTTCAAGGGTTAGGGTTTCTTAGTGTTAGACATTCTTATGAAGATTTGATCAACCATTGATCATAAGAGACATGTGGGGTAAGAGATCTGAGTCATCCAATCATTTGATTAGCCATCATGATTCAAACGAATGTGTTAGAATTTTATCAATCGACTTCTTAAACCTAATCTCATCAAATAATCAAAATATGAAAATAATATCAGACTTTCCTTTTTCATGAATAGATTTCTCATTCATTCCATCTTGACTTTTCAAACTTCTTAAACGTCAAAGTTTTCCAAAATCAAAAGAAATTTGATAGACTTGATTAACAAGGCATTTCAATAAGGAAAGATCCCCCATTATGTGGGGTGCAATATCTCTTAATTTATAAATCTATTTTGCAAAAATAAAATATCCAGAGATTGATAAAAATTCTAATAATCAATCTAAAAATCATGTAACATCAAAATAGTTAATTCTAAATAATTTTGATGGGAATCAGATCCAACTATGCTTAGGAATTATAATATCGCTAAAGAAATCCAACTTTTACTATGGATCATAGTCCACACTTGTTTTCTCAAGCTGACCCAGCGGTTCCATGATCCACAGGCCACTACAAAAGTTTATGATTGGGCCACTAAAGTCAGCCAATAAACAAGGTAACATAATTACAGTCTATAGATTACAAGTTCTCCCCTAGAGATGAGTCCAAGATTACATAGACCTGATACAACCACAGTTTTATGGTGTATATGGGTAATCTTTCGTACATGTATATGTTTCACTCTCAATGATGACTCGCTTTTCCGATATGGCTATTACATATACATGTCGTGTGATGATTCAGTGATGAGGCCTTGACCTTCATCCCTAGAGGCCTACCATCATGCAGAAGGATCACACAGTCCCTTAGCTCACTCTCTTGGACATCTCTGACCTCATCAAGGGATGACCCTGCTAACCCTTGTTCGTTTGTGCTCTATGCTCAAGCAATACGTGTTTTCCAATTTGACTAGCCTAGCACGTCAAACTAAGTCCAAGTATCGGCAAATGACATTTGCCTATCTCGGTTTACAAAAGACCATATTCCTACTGAATTTATGTTTTATTTTATCAAATATTTGAATACAAACTCTCATCAGGTTTTTAATGGCCACATAAACCCAATAATCAATTTAAAACATAAATTATCCATCACAGGCAATTTATGCTTTATGTTCAAAGCATCGGAGTTTTAAAATATTACATAACAGACGCACAAAGGGTTTGGTTTGCTTCAAAATCCAATAATTTTAATAAAAAATCACAAGATTGGTCATCAATCATAAAACTTCTACTGAACCCGGCAGTCTTACGTTTACGGTAGTTCATATAATTTCGTACTTCTCGTATAGCGGTAGAAAGTAAAGCAAAACTTTATTTTAAATTTATTCATTTGTAGGAATCCAGAAATTGCTCATGAAGCATTCTATTTCTGACGGACAGAGACGACCTGCTCAAATATATTTCCAACATTTTTATAGAGTTGTTAAAAAGTAGATGACGTAAGGACAGAGAGAAATATCGCAATTATTATATATCATTATTGGAGTATAATATTATGGGTGAGGTTTGTATGAGGTTGACGGGTTCAAATATATTCCTACACTTGTTAAAAAGTAGATGACGTAAGGACATAGAAATATCACAACTACTATTAGGAAAATTGTTCACGCGGGCTAGACCTTATTTCTTAATATAAAAAGAGTAAAGCATCCATCTTAAAGATGGATGCAAGCAGGTGTTTTATCTAAACACAACGAAAATTAACGGTTGAAATGTTTTTTTATTAAAATTATTATTTTTAGTTTTTAAAATTTATTTATTTATTCATATTCATGATCTCCATTTTAGAGATTTTTGGGATGCACTGAGCCTATTAATAAATCTATTTTTGAGATGGATTTTAAGACTTAAGTTTTAAAGATATGGACACTCGAAAATCTTGAAAATGGATGGTCTAGATAATGTGTTACAAGATACTATTTTTAAGGCTTGAAAGTCATTTTTTTTCTTCTATGTCCATACATATTAAATTCGAGATGATCAATTGGAGAGTTTGTCAATGACAAAATCTTTTTTGGTAGATATTTTATGTGCACCTTTCTTCAACAGTATAAAGTTGATAACTAATATAAACTTTTTCCTAATATCATTATCTTGATGTATTAATGTCACATTATATAAATATTATAATATTATATACTTCTTTATCTTTTACTAATATTATAGTATTATATTAACATAGAGTGTTATAATACTATCTAATTATCTTGATAATAATATTATTATATAATTATAGTATTCATGTGTACCTGTATTAGTATTATTATTTGAAGTGTTTATTATTGAAATAATGATTATTTAAAATTTTAACGTATTCTCAAACGATTGCAAATTTTGGCCTACACTTACTTCAACTTTTGGCCTAAACTTCTTCAACCTCACGTGCTACCATTTGGATATAAAATTTAAAGAATATAATATTATGAAAATCATAGATCTATTGAAGCAATCCACGAAAGAACAAAACTATGGTTTCATCCATTGATTCTTGCCAAAAAAATCAACATAATTTATGTGAGGCGGTTAAACTTCTTTACGAGAAATTTTATATCATTATATAATTATACTATTTATGTGTATATGCATTAGTGTTATTATTTAAAATATTTATTATTGAAATAATAATTGTTTATTAAACATTTTAACTTTCCTTAATTATGTATTCCCATATGATTGCAACTTCTGGCCTAAACTTCTTCATCATCAAGTGCTCCTATCATCCTCATCATCATCATCATCATAGCTTTTTCTTTATTAATTGAGGTTGGCTATTTAAATCCTTGCCCATTCTATTATATTAAAAGACAAACTCTCAGTAAAGCTATATGTCCCCATATCTTTTCAGAATACTTCCAAGCACATCCTTTTGGGCCTACCCTTGCCCTTTTCAGTCCTTTTAGTTGAACTAACTCACACCTCCTAATAGGTGTGGTCAGCCTAGATCTCGTCCCGGCTAGGGGCTTGATGTGGGGTTCGGCTCAAGATCCCTTTTTCAAAAAAAACGCACACCCGTGCATGTGCGATGTGTGTGTGTGTGGCGCATGCGCGATGTGTGGATAGGAACAAACAAAGAGAGAAAGATTTTAGTGGCGAGGCAGAATGCACCTACCTCACAGGATTGGGGTCGAGACACACCTAGGCTTGTGATCCCTCTTAGATCATGAAGAAAGCCCCCCGACCTCTTGGCTTGGTTTGGACCCGGCTCCCTTGCCGCTCACATACTGCCTTTGTTTCACACGCCCTCGTATGTGTATCTGGGGTTGAGAGCCCTTAGTTCGGCACTTGGATGGTTTAGGTAATAGGTTTAGGGGGCTAAGTTCAAGTTTAAATGGGGGAAACGGGGGTAGAAAAGGATAGATGAAAGAAAGGGATAGAAGAGATATAAGGTAAGAAGGAAAAGAGGGAGAGAATTACCTGATGATCTTGCAGCCTTTTGCCGTCGCCTCACCTAGGTTATTATTCCTGTTATCTGAAGAAAGCTACTAGGCATAAGCCAAATACCCTTCTTGTGCACTCAAGAGCCCCAAGGTTGACCTAGTGCACGGGCCTCTTCATGAAGTAGTAACAAAAGAGGAAGGAAAATGAGTGATGAAAGCAAGGGGGAGGGAACCACTCCATAATCTTATAGTCTTCCGGTGTTGCCTCCCCTAGGGGGCTGTTCCGGCTATCTGAAGCATCAGTAGAACGGGCCTACTAGGAAGGGGACTGGACCCCCTTTCGATTCTGGGGGAAGGTCTACCGGAACCTGCGGCTCAAGCAGGCAAGGGGAATAGAGGTTCCCCTCCTCTGACGAAAGGTGACGTATTCCGTCACAGAAGACCTCCCCGACCAAAATCGGTGCCACCCCCTACGGGACATGAACGAGCCCGAAGACGACAACGTCGTCTACTCAAATGTAGTCGAAACACAGGAGGGCGACCCTGCTTCGCCTGACCCTCGGCCCCAAGGCTGTGAGCTGACAAACTAGATTTGGTCCCAAGGCCTTCAAGCGCCAAGCTCGACAATGATACTCAACGTCACCCGGAGCCCGTGCTCACCCCGTCCATGAAACAAGCCTGATCTCAGATGGGGCACGCTCAGTCCTTACTCTACAGGGTCCCCGATCAGAGCACAAAGAGGACCGTGGTCACCCCTCCCACTGAGCTCGGACCGGCCCATCGAGGTAATGAAAGTGAGCTAGGAAGGAGGGGAGCTCGAAAACCCCACGACTCACTTCGGGAATGTCCTGAACAATTGCCTGGACAGACTCAAAGGGCTCAAGGACGTGTTGTCAACGCTCTCCTCCCATCAAGAGACTAACTCTACACCCGAACCGCCACTCAGAGAGGAGGAAAGTCCTCAACCCCCCCTCCGGCTTCAGCACCGAGATCTCCAGATTCTCTTCCGTCTTTTGACGTCCAGCCCAACACAGCCCCTCAAGCATCACCATTGATGTTCACACAGGAGAACATGTTGCGCATGATCAATAAAAGCATCCACAAGCTACAGGTGTCAAGGACGCGGTACAATGTCCCGTACCAAAAGCCCTACCCGCCATCTATTGATTGAGTTCCATTCCTCGTTGAGTACCAAAAAGAGAGATTGTCGATCTTTGACGGTATAGACTCGCGTCATCAGCACATAGCCCACTTCATGTCTGCCTACCAAGAGTCAGCCTCAGACCCTAGGTTGTTGCTCTAACAATTCGTGGTGACTCTTATCAGGCCCGTCTTCAAATGGTGCGCCCGCCTGCCGCCCAACTCGGTCCACTCCTGGCGAGAGATGGAACAACTCTTCCACAAATGCTTATATGAGGCATGTGTGCATATCCTTCTCAACAAGCTTTGACCCCTATAAGGCCTCTTTTTGTGGTCATTTGGGAGGAGAAAGAAAAGGAGTAGAGAGAGACAGAGAAAAGGATTAGAGGGAGAGAGAGAAAAACCTTGAGAGATAAAGATTAGAAACCCTAGAGCTAGCCTCCTAGAACTTCAATCCTTAAGCCTGAGAGAGCCTAGAACCATTTATAGGACACAACCACCCTATAATGAAGGGACTTGCTGGCTAATATCCGGATCAGAAAGAGAACAGAGGACCGGTTATGATACACACTGGTCCCAAAGGGCTCGGGCGTCCTTGGCCATCTGGCCCAGTTCGATATCACTTTCTTCCTTCTTCTTTTTATTCTTATTTTGTTACTTTAATTTTATTTTGCTATGTTTTAGTTAATTTGCTTAAAAATCGTATTTTGGATATTTTGGATCATGCTGCCCTGCCACAGATCTGAGAGCAGATCTGCTTGCTTCTAGGTAGATTTGACCTTAAATCTGAATTCGATTTGTCCCACTTTCTTTACCACTGCATTTCTTTCATTTTTCATCAATGTTAAGGTGTCAAATCCGAGAGATCTTCATTGGAAGATCTGTCAGATTTTACATCATAAACAACCCTATTACAAGAATGTCTAGGTAAGGGGCCTGCTCCTCACTGGCTTACCAGAAAAAAAAAAGAAAAAAAAAGAAAAACAAAGAAAAGAAACTTATGTATTCAGAAGATATTATTGAAAATAATGATTCTCAGTTGTTCCCAATTGTTCCCAAAATTTCATAATAAAATATTCTTCCAAATGGATCTTTAACCGAAGGAGTAGATGCACACTATGCTCCTGAGGAACATAGTATACCCACTTTCTAAACAAAAAGTATTGTCCGGATGATTACAACCTTGTAACATGAGAACCCGTTCCATACCAGCAATATTTCGAAAATCACGAGGTAATATTCAGAATGCATGCTCCACTCGAACAGATGTTCTTACCATATTTATTATTTCTTCTCCAAAACTGGAATTTGTCAATCTTACTGTCAACCATCACAAATCCACCCCTCATTTCTACAATTGAACTAGTAATTTCACTACGGCTTACCCGTTCTCTGCTCCTTCTCTCTCTCTCTCTCTCTAGATGTAAGCGGGTGTCCTGGTGTGGTAATCAGAGCTACAAATACACATTTAAAACGAGTCTAAATCAATTAAAAAACATGAGGCTCCAAACACAATCAGAAACAGAAAATGAATGTACACTGTAATTTGACACGGTGAATGAGAGTTTGTACAGTAACCGAGCTCGATGGTGGCGTTGCATGGAAACCCAGCTCATCAGGAAACTAAACAGTTACTAACGGAGAAGTATAACACCAAAGAAGAAAAACCAAAGAAGACCATTGAATAATGGCCACCATTTCTCAGGAAAAAAAAGGCTCAACTACTAGCCATCGGTGGACGCGGGGAGTGCCTCATCGACCATGCTCACAGTCCAGACGCAAACTAAACAGTTACTAACAGAACAAAAAAGATTAGATATGTAGAGATGGTGAAATCTTCTCAGACTTTGTCCCCCTTATCTCCTGAGTCCAAATCCTCAAATGAATTAAGAAAAGGTGGAGCGGATGGAAGGCTCTTTAGCACCTGAGACCAATCGAGAAACAAGCAGTGAGAAGTTTATAACAAGATTAAGGATCACTCACCCAAAAAGAAAAAGAAAAAAAATGAAAGAGAAAAGAAATGGAGCAGGGGGTAAAGAGGTTGCGAGAGAGACCATAGATGGATCCAATCTCAATTTTTTAAAGTTTTCATCAAGGACGCCCATGAGGCGGTCGCTTCCTTCCTTTTCCATCTCTCGCAGTTCAGCCATGGAGTCATGGAGTTCCTGCATTCGAAAATCGAAACCAAAAACGCACTTCTATTGAATTCCACAAAAATCAAGGAGTGTTCCATCCATGTTAGATAATTTAGTTCACTGGCCAAGAATTGATTCACCAAACGAGATATAACCCGCCAGATAACAAGATTCAGGGAAGTGGGTAACGAACTTACATTCTCGGGTGGTGGCACTGGCACTGGTACATCTTCTTGGACTTCCTCCTCGACATAATTCTGAGAGTAAATCATTAACCATTCAAAAGAAAGAAGTTATAAAGGAGGATCACTCCACGTTTGTGTAATGAGAATGTAAAGAGGGTGACACGTTCTCTCGCAGTACCTCATCGAGAATAGCCTTTACCACCTGAAACAAACAGAAAAAACAAATTTATAACAAGATTGAGGAACAGTAACCAAACCAGTTAAAAAAGAAAAAAGGAAAATACAAATGGAGATTTGAGTGCGAGACCATAAATCGATATAAATTGCGTTTTATCTCGCTTTTTGGAAGATTGTCCAAGTCGAGTTCATTGCCCTCGGAGGCTTCCTTGTTGATCTCACACCAGTTAAGTACGTACTCACGGAAATCCTGCGTTTCCAAATGAAAACCAAAAACTGACTTCTAATAAATTCCACAGAAATCTAAAAAACTTCGTCTTTGAAATGCGTATCTCATAATTTTCTTTTTTTTTTCTTTTGGTAAGAAATAATTTTCTTGACAGGCCAAGAAATGATTTCACGAAACAAAACACGATGGGCAGAAACCAGAGCTCTCTAGCTATCAACAGTATCTCCAATTTGCTTCTTCTTTATAAGGTTGATGACGAAAGCTCAACCAAATACAGATAAGCTTTCTTTCAATCAACTATCTCATATAATTCTAGAACCACAAATTCAGTAAAAAGAATCGTAGAAGGGCACCGCATGATTGACCCTACCCTCTTGGCATCCTTGGTGTTGAAGAACTTGGCTGTGAGAAGTGAGAAGTTGTTATCGAGCCACATGCTCGTGGAGCCACTGATAATGGGTCCTGCTGCTGTCGCAATATTCTGAAGAAACAAAGAACACCCATCCATGAAATCCTCTGCATTTTCTTTTCTCGTGAAAACTAAAGAGAGAAAGAGAACAAGAAAAGAAAAGATAACAGAAGAAAGTAAAAAGAAGTTATCAGATTTTCTGTTACAGTGGAAATTTGGTAGGAATTAGTGGAAATTTGGTAGGAATTTTCCGTTCTTGTGAAAAATAGAGAGGGAAAGAGCGTCAAGAAAAGAAAAGATAACACAAGAAAGTAGAAAGAAGTTATCAGATTTTATTACAGCGGCAATCTGGAAGGAAAGACGAGCTTCACAAGCGGCTGTGAACTTTCGCATTGCATCAGGCCTGACCTCGGCAACATAGCAATCTAAGTCGCCCTTTAAAGAGTAGGCAATGACATCTTCCTCAACCGAGTTATCGGTGAGAATGAAATGCTTGTCGATGAGAACATGAAATTCGGAGCAAATGGACACAATCTCGGACTCGATAGTGGAAATTTTGTGCTTGATGGCTTCCAACTGTTCTGGATCGACCTCACCGTGAGGTCTTGACATTTCGTTCTGCCATGAAATCAAGCGTTCATACACAGACATCATGTACGAAGTGCACAGGAGTCTGCGCTCTTCTTCGTTTAGGCGCCGGGCCTCGTCGCCTCCTTTCTCTATGGTCTGCACTGCTTTCTTCATGAAATCAACCATCACGTCGAAGGACTTGAACTTGAAGGCAGCCTTGGCCAAGGATAACCAGTGCTCCACCGGCTTTTGTGCTTCTGGCTCCCTTGCCATTGCTGGTGGCTACTGCGTCCAAGATACAATCACAGTTTCCTTGCAGAGAGAAAGAGAGAGAGAGAGGGAGAGAGAGAGGTTATAGGCTTGGGGGATGCTTGATAGAAAGTGTGGGTGTTATATGAGAAATGTGGGGGAGGGAAAGGGTTGGAAAGTTAGAGAGAGAGAGTCCGTGAGCTGGCAGAGTTGGAGAGAGAGTGTGGCAGGTGGGATACAGAAGCGGACAACACATTTTTACAGAAAATGTCATTCACATGGCCAAATCGCTTACTGAAAATTTAAATAGCCAAATAAATTAATTTACATATGAAGTGTATATTTCAAATATGTTTGCACCCACGAAAAATTATTGATGCTTTTAATTTTTTATACATCGTTTATCCAATACTTTTTAATATCAGACCTAATATTATTTTTCTTATATTTATTCTCAAATAAAAAAGTAAAAAAAAAATAAGACTCAATTGTCATTTCCTCTCTTTACCCAATTTTTCTCTCTTTCTTTTTTAGCCCAAACTCCCTCTCTCTACCTGCTATTTCTATTTCTCTTTCAGTCCAAACTCCCTCTCTCCCCTGTCCTTCCTCTCTTTTCTCTTTTATCCCAATACCCGCCCTCTCTCTCGCCCAAACTCCCTCTCTCTCTCTTCTCTCTCGTGCCAATACCCGTTGTTTTTACTTAAAATCCTTCTTTCTCCCCATTTCTTGACATTTTTTTACTGGGAAGTAGACTATCTACATAGTTAATTTGAAAAAGACCTTGCAAGAAGTGGCCCTCCATATTTTCATAGAACTGTTTGTCCCTGATAATTTCCGATGCAAGAAATATTTGATCTTATATTATTTGTTTTAGAAAATAATTATGAAAATTATAAGGGGGTGGTTTGTAAAGAGCCTAGGCTCTAAACAATCAAATTAGATCATATCTTCAAATAGTATGGAGACTAGGGTTTCAATACTTAAAATCTTTGTGAATGCCTTAAAATATATTTTCATTTTTATTTATAAAGTTTAAAGCTTCAAAAATAGTGTAGGCGTTAGATTTATGAAACTTGAAAATCTTGAAAATTGATGTTCCAAAAATGCATTATGGAATACACTATTTTCAAAACTTGAAATTCATTTTCTTTTGATGTCCATGCATCTTGATCTCGAGGTGATCAATTTGATGATATGTGGGCATCAAAACAACTTCTTCGAGTAAAATTTTTTAGGTAGGCTCAAATTTGATTGTTTAGAGCCTCGGCTCTATATAAACTTTTCTCAAATTATAATGTATCGAAAACCTAAAAACAGAACATTTTCTTTTACTTTTAAATAAAAAAATAGTTTCTACTTTGAGCGAAAGAAAAATATGCTCCTAATTGATAAGTTTATTAGGACACTTTAGTGGGGATTTTTGAAATGGTTTGACCATTAAAAAATATTTTTCTGTATATTCTTTCTAAAGTGCTCTGCTGGAGTTCTCAACATCCAAATTATTTTGACAATATTTTCGGGGTGCTTCCTCAGGAGTATAGTTTACTTCTTCAACCTTGGTCAGATGACCTACTAAGGAGGATTTTTTCAATCTAAAATTTTGGATGATTATTTAAAAAAAAACAAATTTGAAATTTGAGTTTTCTAACACTTAAATCTTATCCTCTAAAAATTGGACGTTCTTGGGCATTAAATCAATACAGTCACAAGCTGCCAATGAACCGGTAATTTGTATGTTCTTGGGCATTAAATTAGTTGAAATGTTCATCGAAGTTACTAATTGTGTCAAGTAGTCTTGTCTCACAACACTTAGTGGATGAATTAAGTTATGCTCTATTATTTTTTTTCCCTTAAACTGTATATTTATCCTCGTGATTGGGTTTATTAAAATACTTTCTTAGAAAACATTTTTATATATTTTCTAGAAAACATTTTTGACAATGATTTCTAGAAAATGTTTTCTTTAGAAAATATTTTATAGAGAAAACATTTTCATATGAAAATATTTTCATCTAGAACATAATTTCTCACATGAAACATTTTCTAGAAAATATTTTTTGGAAAAAGTTTTTTTAGTAAATATTTTTTGGAAAAAGTTTTCTGAAAAAACATTTTCCTAGAAAACATTTTCCTAGAAAAGGTTCTCTTAGAAAGCAATTTCCTAGAAAACACTTTCTTAGAAAATGTTTTCTTGTAAAACATTTTCCTAAAAAACATTTTTTAGAAAACACTTTTTAGGAAAACGTTTTCCTAGAAAACACTTTCTTGGAAAAGGTCTACTTAGAAAACAATTTCATGGAAAACATTTTCCTAGAAAACACTTTCTTAGTAAAACATTTTCCTTTTCTTAGAAAAGGTTCTCCAAGAAAGCACTTTCTTGGAAAACACTTGGAAAATATTTTCTTGTAAAGCACTTTCTTAGAAAACATTTTCTAGAAAACACTTTTTAGAGAAATGTTTTCCTAGAAAGCAATTTCCTATAAAATAATTTCCTGGAAAATGTTTTCCCAGAAAACAATTTATAGGAAAAGGTTTTCCTAGAAAAATGTTCTCCTAGAAAGCACTTTCATGGAAAAAGAAAATATTTTCCTGTAAAACGTTTTCTTAGAAAACATTTTCTAGTAAAACATTTTCTTAAAAAATATTTTCAAGAAAACACTTTCAAAGAAAACATTTTCCAAGACAATTTCTTGGAAAGGTTTTCCCAGAAAACACTTTCCTGGAAAACGTTTTCTTATAAAACACTTTCTTGGAAAAGGTTTTCCTAGAAAGCACTTTCTTAGGAAAATATTTTCTTGGAAAACATTTTCTTAGAAAACATTTTCTTGAAAACACTTTCAAGGAAAACATTTTTCGAGACAATTTCTTGGAAAAGGTTTTTCCCAGAAAACACTTTCCTGGAAAGGGAAAATTTCCTGGAGAAGGTTTTCCCAGAAGAAACTTTCCTGGAAAAGGTTTGCCAAGAAAACAATTTCTTAGGAAAATATTATCCTAGAAAAAATTTTCCTAGATAATTACCTGAAAAAGGTTTTCCCAAAAAACACTTTCCTGGAAATCGTTTTCCCAGAAAGCACTTTCCAAGAAAAGGTTTTCCCAGAAAGCACTTTTCTGGAAAAGGTTTTCCTAGAAAGCACTTTCTTAGAAAAATATTTTCCTGGAAAATGTATTCCAAGAAAACATTTTATAGAAAACACTTTTAAGGAAAACATTTCCCTAGACAATTTCCAGGAAATGGTTTTCCCAGAAAACACTTTCCTGGAAAAGGTTTTCCCAAAAAACATTTTCCTGGAAAAGGTTTTCCAAGAAAACACTCTCCTGGAAAAGGTTTTCCTAGAAAGCACTTTCTTAGAAAAATATTTTCCTGGAAAATGTTTTCCTAGAAAACATTATCTAGAAAACGCTTTCAACGAAACATTTTCCTGGACAATTTATAGAAAATGGTTTTCCAGGAAAACACTTTCTTGGAAAAGGTTTTCCTAAAAAAAAAAATTTCCTGGAAAAGGATTTCCTAGAAAACACTCTTGGAAAAGGTTTTCCTAGAAAGCACTTTCTTAGATAAATACTTTCCTGGAAAACATTTTCCTAGAAACCAGTTTCTAGAAAACATTTTCTAGAAAACACTTTCAAGGAAAACAAATTCCAAAAAAAGTACATCCCGGAAAACACTGTCCTGGAAAACGGACAATTTCCAAGAAAAGAATTCCCCAGAAAAAACTTTCTTGGAAAATAAAATACAATTTCCAAGAAAAGAATTTCCTAGAAAGGACTTTCTTGGGGTTTGGGGTTTTAGGGTTTAGGGTTTAGGGTTTAGGG